AGTTAAGTTCTTTTGGAAGATAATTTATTTCAACTTGTTGCAAACAATTTTCAATCGATCATCTATCATTTTTCCTCCAACTTTTATTACATTTAATTAAAATAAAAATTTTAAACAATCTTTATATCTATTTTTACATTCTTCTTCGCTCCATATTTATCTACTTATGTTTATTTTTCGTTCAATTTTCAGTTTTTCTCCGTTCTCTTCTTCTTAATGCTGTACGTCCTCGGCATAGGAAGCGCCATCGCTCTTGCAGGTTCCCTCATCACAATTATCAGGGATCAGTTTCCAAATTTGAAACACATCTACGTCGTGCTCGGCACGGTTACCTTTGGATTTTGCGCTGGAATTATTTACTGCACACCTGTAAGTCAAAATCATAGAGAAAGGAATAAATACAATGAAACATTTGTAATCGATGTAATTTTTTTTTTTTTTTTTTTTTTCATTTTAGGGTGGTCAGTTCATGCTGGAATTGGTCGATTACTACGCGGCATCTTTCGTGGTGTTCATCCTGGCCACTCTAGAGATAACTGGTATCTTTTGGATTTATGGGTTAGAAAATTTCTTGGATGATGTGGAATACATGTTGAAGAGAAGGCCATCAGCCTATTGGAGGTTCTGTTGGGGTGTGATTACTCCACTTTTGCTGGCTGTGATCCTAGTTTATACCTTAATCAGTTTGACACCCTTGACATACAGTGGTATCTCGTACCCTGACAGTGCACATGGTGCGTATTTATTTGTTCTACGTTGCTAATCATTATTCCTCTTTTAATTAAAAATGATCTTTTTCTCTTAAAAATTTTTAAATTTTTAATTTTATTCCCGTCGTAATTTACAGCTGCTGGATGGACCATTTGCGCATTTGGTATTCTACAAGTACCATTTTGGATGATCTACGCCATAATGTCGAAAAGAAATTTATCCTCGCTCGAGGTACGTTCCATTATTCAATCTTTTGAAAAGAAAAGCAGAAATAATAAATAGAGAAAAAAGAAACGCAGAATGACAATAAATAATTTCTATCAGTTGAAGAATAATAATAATTCGAACGAAATTTCACAGATGATCAAGTCAGCCTTCGTACCATCCGCGGACTGGGGACCGAAAAACTCGAAAGAACTGGCCTCTTGGCGCGAATTCAAAGAGATGAGAAGAAAGATTCGAGAGAAACGACAATGTTCGAAATTTAAGCAATTTGTTTACGTAATACTCTGCTGGGAGGACAAATTGTGACTTCGTTCGTTGTATTTATTCACATTCGTTTATAGGAATCCTTTTCGATTCTGAATCTTGCCGTCCTAGAAGTAATCTATGCCTGCGTAGTTTCTCGCCATAACCACGTTCATTCTACGCAAAATTGCTAGACTGAAAAATTATTATGTAAAAAAAAATAAGACGAGTTTCGAATCTTCCATAGATTTAGTTATGGACCCATCAGTATTATTGGATATTTGATATTTTTTTATTTATATTTTCTTAAGT